TTGCATCCCTGGGATAAACCCCACTTGGTCATAGTGAAAACTTTTTTTTTAAGTGTCAAAGTCATGAAAGAAGGAAAGACTGAGGAACTATCACATACTGGAGGAGATAAAGGAGACATAACAACTAAATGGCAGTGTGAGATCCTGGATTGGATCCTGGAACAGAAAAAGGACATTAGAGAAGTGGTGGTAAACTTCAAATAGGCCTGTAGTTTAGTTAATAATATTGTGCCAACATTAATTTCCCTGTTTTGATCATTGTACTATGGTTATCTGGTAACATTAGAGTAAGCTTGGTAAAATATGTACAGTCAAGCCCCAAATAACATTTCAGTCGATGACAAACCACATATATGACAGCAGTCCCATAATGTTATAAAACTGTATTTTTACTATACCTTTTCTATGCTTAGATAGAATCTATGTTTAGATACCCAAATCCTATTGTGCTATAATTGTCTACAGTATTCAGTATGGTAACTTGCTGTACATGTTTATCGCCTACGAGCAACAAGCTATACCGTATAGCATAGGTGTGTAGTAAGCTATATGCCATTTAGGTTTGTATGAAAACCATCTATGGTGTTCATACAATGCTGAACCTGCCTAACCACTCATTTCTCAGAATGTATCTTCATCATTAAGCAACACATAACTGTACATGAAGTCTCTATACAGATTAAGCATCCTACTCCAAAAATGGGAAATCCAAAATGTTCCAAAATTCAAAACTTTTTGAGCACCAACATAACAACATAACACCACATGTGGAAAATTCCACACTTGACTTCATGTGATGGGTCAAAACACAGGCACACGATATACAGATTATTCGGCATCCTTAGGGAAAAAGTTAAATTATCTTTAGGCTATGTGTATAAGGTATATGGAACATAAATGAATTTCATGTTTAGACTTGGGTCCCATCTCCAAGATGTCTCATTTTACATATATATATATACACACACACACACACACACACACACACACACGTATATATATATCACACAAAGATTCCAAAATCCAAATAAAAACTTGGAATCTGAAACACTTTAATACCAAGAATTTCAAATAAGTGATTCTCAACTTACATTTTTTGTAAGTTTTTTATGTGTGAAATTATTTCACTATAGAAGAGTTTTTTTAAGTTGTCCAAAAATTACTTCCAGAAAGAAGTTAGGTGCAAATACAGAGTTGAACTTTTTTTTTATTTCAAGGAATATTCCTGTGGTATCAAAATTGTTATAGAGCATGGAAAACAATGGAAAGTATCTCAATTAATTCTATAAAGCTAATAAGAACCTGATACTAAAATCTGGCAATGTCATCCCAAAAAAATACTTTTTTTTTTTTCTGAGATCAAGTTTCTCTCTTGTTGCCCAGGCTGGAGTGCAGTGGTGAGATCTCAGCTCACTACAGCCTCCACCTCCCAGGTTCAAGCGATTCTCGTGCCTCAGCCTCCCAAGTAGCTGGGATTATAGGCGCACACCACCACGCCCAGCCAATTTTTGTATTTTTAGTAGAGACGGGGTTTCACCATGTTGGCCAGGCAGTCTTGAACTCCTGACCTCAGGTAATCCATCTGCCTCGGCCTCCCAAAGTGCTAGCATTAAAGGCATGAGCCACTGCAGTCCAGCCAAAAAGTGCTCTTGAATCTCACTCATGAATATGGATCCAAAACCCTAAATAAAATACTAAAAACTTAAACTCAACAATATATCTTTTAAAAAATCATCATGACAAAGTACACTTGATTCCAAGAATGCCATGGTGGCCCAATATTTTTAAATTTATTAGGAGAACAGGTCAAATGCATTTGATATTATTCAATATTCATTTCTGATTTTAAAAATCAGACTTGATAAACTAGGAATAAAAGGGTACCTTACCATCTACTTCATGACAGAAGTCAAAATTTAAAGTATAACCCCCGTTATATGATATTATTCTGGAAGTTCTTGCCAATGCAATAAGAAAAGAATAAGAAATAGGATGTTCAACTATCAAAATGGAGGAAAAAAACTGTCATTGTTATTTGAAATGATACAAAAACTATTAGAGCAGAGGATTTTAATAAGTAGAATTCTTGCAAAATAAATAAACAAGAACTCATTGCTTCTCTACATAAATATCATTCCAAAATACAATGGGAAAAGATCATGATCATAATAACAACCAAAAAACATAAAATACCTAAGAACAAACACAAGAAAAATGCACAATATAAATGAGAAAACTGCAAAACTTTGCTTATAAACATAAAAAGAAATTCAATTAAATAAAATAAGGTAAAAGTTAGATTATACAGGGTTGACAAGGTTACAAGAAAACAGATAATTACACACTTTGCTGCAAAAGTAAAAATGAACAATATCTATCAAAACCTAAATGGCAGGCAGCATGGTGGTTCATGCTTGTAGTCCCTTTAGACTTTGGGAGGCTGAGGCAGGCAGATCACTTGAGCCCAGGAGTTCAAGCCTAGCCTAGGCAACATGATGAAACCCTGTCTCTAAAGAAAATAAAAGAAATTAACCAGGCTTGGTGGCACATGCCTGTAGTCCCAGCTACTCAGGAGACTGAGGTAGAAGGATCACTTGAGCCCAGGGTGTTGAGGCTACAGTGAACCAAGATCACGCCACTATACTCCAGCCTAGGCAACAGGGTGAGACCCTGTCTCAAAAAAAAAAAAAAAAGATTAAAAGCACATAACCTTTGAGCCAGCAATTCTACTTCTAGAAATTTATTTTACAGATAATATATATATGTACAAATATGTGAGAGAGAGAGTGTGTATATGTGTGTGTGTATACTCAACACAGCACTGTTCTTAATAGCAAAAAGCTGGGAACAACATCAATATTGAAAAATAAGACTTATAAAAGATGATTATCAACATTATGAAAGAACATAGAGCCATACCATAAATAGTATGATCAATATATTGAAGAATATTTTTGTAAGACATATATTTATAAAATAGGATGTACATACTTCTAAAAATTATCAATGTACTTTTGTCTGCGTGGCAGAATTATGATAACTTATTTACTTTCCCGTGCTTTTCTGTGTTTTCTAAATTGTCTACAATACTCATGTATTGTAATTAACAGGGAAAAGTAATAAAGGCTTTATCTGTGGATGAGAGGAATTCTAGTACCTAACATTTGTATTAGGTACTTGCCAGACCTAATGTCTCTAAATTCACATGCACTGCCTCTAAATTCTGTATTTGTAGTTGCCAACTTGCAAAACTCAACATACATGTTTTTCATTTTCACTAGTTTCTACCATTATTTCAATGAACTCAACCCTGCAGCTCGTAGTAAAACTGCATTCTGATCTTGAGTCAAGAAGTGAAACCACCACTCTGCTTGTGTGAAACAGAGAGGAAAAGACCATCATGGCAGCAAGGAGGGCAAAATAGGGTGTTTATCTTGCAAGCCTCAAATCTCCAATTTTATCCGCTACAGGAAGCAGTGGCTACTTTTGTTTCATCAACTTTTCTTTATCTCCATGATAAGTGTGTTTTATTATCTGTATATGCACAATGATGTACTGCTCCAGTAAACCAGGATATCAGAGCAGGAAACCGGGGCTTATGTTTTAAGGTTTAGATCCTGTCCAACTATATCTCATCAGCAAGAACTGGGAAGTGAAGCTCAGTATAAACATGCCATTTGTGATATACACACTTACACTTCCCTTACCACTGCTCCACTCTGAGCAGCCAGCATGCAGCGTTTGAGAACATGTTCTGTAGCCCTGTGCTGTCTGCTTCAGAGAGAGCCCTAACCACATTTGGGGGAGAAATGTCTTGTACCTATTATCTTTATGATCTCCTTAAACACCCTCCATAACAGGAACCCTGCAAACTTCCCCAGATTCATTATAGGGAATTAAATGCTTTCAACTCTATACATTAGTGGCTCACAATTTCTGTATAGGAGAGGTTTAAGGTGCAGTAATCTGAAAGAAAGGGGACTGGGAACAGTGGCTTTCAAATGATTTTTACCTCAATTTGCAATAACAGTTATTTTATTTCACACTGTGGCCCATTGTAAACATAGGTGTAACATGCACATATACACACAAATGTGCAATAATATTACTAAAGTAAAAGCTTTCTAAAACAATACACATGCTAAGTGTGACACACCTTTACCTGTTCAGTAGTGTTATGTTCTAGTCTATTCCATTCTATTAAAAATTCTGCCCAAATCTCATTGAAATTATTCTGTTCATGATACTTTCATGATGATAGCAACATGCAGTTGGAAAAGCACTGGACAAGGGGTCTTTGGGACCTGGATTTATGATCATTTGGAGTGCAGGACTGGGCTACGCTCATACCCAGACAGGAGCCTTGACATCACAGGACTATGGTATCTTTTTGCTCTAATTGAATTGTTAGAGATCAAGCAAATTCAAGAAATTTGAGAAGCTGTAGGAGTGTTCAGAGTCACAAATTTCCAAAATTGCATTTATGGCAATCGCATTTATGGACATATTTCAAATTTTTGAATCTTTCTCACAACCCCCTTGTTTTTTATTTTAACTTTTATTCTAGATACAAGGGGTACATGTGCAGATTTGTTACATGGAAATATTGTGTGATGCTGGGGTTTGGAGTATGTTTCCCATCACCTAAGTAGTGAATGTAAATACCCAACAGCGTTTTCTAACCCATCCCCAACACCCCCAGGAGTCCCCAGTGCCTATTGTTTCCATGTTTATGTCCATGTGTGCTCAATGTTTAGCTCCCACTTATAAGTGAGAACATGCAGTGTTTGGTTTTCTGTTCCCGCTTTAATTTGTTTGGATCATGGCCTCCAGCTCCATTAATGTTGCTGCCAAGGACATGATTCCATTCTTTTATATAGCTGCATAGTATTCCATGGTGTTTATGTACCACATATTATTTATCCAACCCACCATTCATCGGCATCTGATAACCTCTCTTGGAACCTTAGCAGAGGAGGGGAAAGTGAAAGCAGAGTTACCATAGGAAGAGCTGTTGAAGAGTTCAATGTTGAAGAAGGCGTAGTCTCCACTGGTCATGCCATGCCTGTGCGCCGCCAGCATGATGCTCCGGACGGTGTCACTGCTCGCACACATGATCACCACTAGGGGAGGAACAAACAACACACATGAGGCACCCCTTTGCAGAGCACTTTGAGCATGCTGACACCAGTGAGGGACATCTGACAAGGAATGGGATACTTGTATGGTCCTGAAGTATCTCCTCACAATCACTTATAAACTACAAATGGACCATGGAGGAACCTAGCAGACACCTCCATAACCAAGAGATGGAAGCCAACATCACCAACCATGGGAACACACACTCATGGGACACGTGGAATAACACTCTAAGGACCAAAATGTCTAGATGGGCAGTCTACATCTAATCAGAAGGAAGAAAGTCACAAACCCAACTTGGGGGATGGTCTGTAGAAAATCGGCGTATGCTCTTTAAAATGGTCAATTTCATGAACAACAAAGACAGGCTGAGGAAACATTCTAGACTGAAAGAGGCTTAAAGGAATAGGCTACTGACTACAGTGTGTGATGCTGGATTGGATTCTGGACCTTTTCTTTTAAAAAAAAAAAAAGTTCTTTTTAAAAAAAAACTGCATCAAATAAATCACCAGATTTGCCCAATATAAGATAGTGAAAATTGTCAACTGCTTTTTATACTTAATAGCATAGTAAATGCACTGTCCTGAAAAAGCAAACTTAATGATTTTAGAGAGAACATTAACTTGACAAATCAGAGGATTCAGGGAGTGCTACAAGCTTTCTGCTGTTTGAATTTTAAAACATTATTTTCAGGTTGTCTCAACATACATAAGAAATCATTTGTAAGATTCCAGGTGTCTCTCCCCTGTTCTCTCAGTTTATATCCACACTGTTGGATTCAAGAGGCTTCACACAACTCGAAAGCCTCTCGAACTAGATATTGTTGCCTACCATATAAGGGCTACACAGGCTAGAGTGAAGTAGGGCTTGACCATTACCCAGTCAATTTGACCCCTGTTGATAGACCCAGGTCTCCATGACCAGATCCACTGTGTTTTGCTGCACACATACTGTGCAGAGAGACCTGGAGAGACCTGGGTGCTATAAACCGCATTATCACGATGCATGCCAGCCCTCCAAGATGTGTATGTTCTTTGTAAAAGCATGGGTGCTGAAACACGTAAAACAAACTTCAGGCTATGCCAAAGCAGCCTTGGCAACCTGCATGGAGGTTGGGCTCTTGTTGATATTTAGTTTACTGCACACGTTAATTCAGTGTTAGATCATGACTCTGACATTTCATACCCCAGAAGGGCTAGGTGTACAGCATAAAAGCTCTAGAGAAAAAGTTTCTAAAACAATACAAAATTCTTAAAGATCTGTAACAATGGGAGTAGGTGTTGTTTCTGCCCTGAAAGTATAGGTATATATTTGGGATAATCAATTCCAAGATGCCTCAGTAAGAAAGTTTTCAAAGAAACTCCTAATTATTTGTTATGACTTAGACCCTTGTTTTACCTCTGATTTGATTCTAGCCTCTTAAATGAACAAAGAGTCAAGGTGTCCCATAACACATTCAACAAGGGACTGAGGCTGGACAAGTTTGAAGAATGTGGATTCCAAGAGTAGATGTCTCCAGGAGGTTCCGGGAAGTTCTGGCTGATTGGCCACCAAGCAGCCCTCATCATTTTTCGAGCAAGTGATCATAGTCCAGGATCTGGCTCTCAATTCCAAGATGCAGAACCTGATTCTGTCAACATATAGAGAGTAGAATCATTGCTTAGGGGCAAGTTTCCAATAACCTAACTCAGATATGTGTAGGTAATCTGAAATGCATACTATTTAAATTCAATGAGGTCCAGGATGGTTATGAATATATTTGTGTCAACATGCCCTATAGCTGGGCATGCTAACTGGAGAGACAAATTATAAGCAGTAGGATGCAAGTAAGGATGAAATCAGAATCAGGGAGGCCAGTAGAGGATTCAGCTGTCAAAGTCACCAGGACTTGATGACCCTAGGCATCCATCTAAGAGATATATCTGGTTCAGGACCAAACAGGCAGGGTCCAAGGACCAGAGGACCAGTTTTCCTAAACTTTGTCTGAAGTTTCCCTAAACACTGGCCTCTGTGGCACCTTTTTTCTATTTTTACATTCCTGGCCCATCTCCTTCTCTCTCTTCCTGCTATGGTTTGGTTGTGTCCCCCAGATTTCATGTGTTGGAAACTTAATGCTCAAAATCATTTGTTGGTGGTATTTGGAGATGGGGCCTTTGGTAGATACTTATGATTAGATAAGGTCATCAGGGTGGGTCCCCTAAGATGGGACTGGCAGTTTAGAAGAAGAGGAAGAGAGACCTGAGTTGGCACAAATTTGCTCTCTTACCATGTGATGCCCTCCATAGTGTTATGACACAGCAAGAAGGCCCTCACAAGATGCTGGCACTATGCTCTTGGACTTCCTAGCTTCTAGAACCATACGCTAAATAAACTTCTTTCTTTATAAATCACCCAGTCTGTGGTATTTTGTCATAGCAACAGAAAACAAACTAACAGACACCCCACCACCACCAAGTCCTTCTGATGGACACATTCTTTGTTTTCTTTTTTGTTGTTGTTATTTTGTTTGTTTGTTTGGAGACAGACTCTCACTCTGTCACCCAGACTGGAGTGCAGTGACTCAATCTTAGCTTACTGCAACCTCCATCTCCTGGGCTCACGCGATCCTCCCACCTCAGCACCTTCCAAGTAGCTGGGACTACAGGTGCATGTTACCACGCCCAGCTAATTTTTGTACTTTTTGTGTAGATAGAGTTCCACCATGTTGGCCAGGCTGGTCTCAAACTCCTGGCCTCAAGTGATCTGCCCATCTTGGGCTTCCCAAAGTACTGAGATAACAGGCACGAGCCATCAGACCCAGCCTACATTCTTTCTGTAAATGTTAGTACCCACTTAGACTGAGCAAGAGAGACATAGAGTGGCACTGTGTCTATCTAAGCAGATTTTGATTATTTTAGATCTTATCCATTTTGTGTTGGCCATGTGATTTAAGACTCAAAAGGAAGCCCTAATTTCCAAGTTCATAGGCAGAGCATTGTCTTTCTTGAATAAACCAAACCCATAATGCACATTATCATCCAGTTTCAGTTCAAACTGGAACAAGCACCTAATGACACTGGCAAAGCAGTCAGAGTACACGATCCTAGATTTTTATGATGCTCCCCAATCTCTTAGGGTTGTCTCACTCATGCCTAATTGAACAGCAAGTATTTTTAGTAACTTGCCTTTATACAATCAAAAGGTTTAGAATAGTTTTAATTAAAATAACTTTCTTTTCCTGCTTATGTTTCATCAATTTATATAATAACTAATTAAATTACATATTTATCATAATAAGCACAACCAGCATCAACGGACTTGGGGACAACTCTTAGAAAATATATGAAGAAGTATGAGAAGTGTGTGGCACACTCAGGAGAACTCTACTAGCTGCCAGCATCTACCAACAAGTGATAAGATTTATAGAGAACAGAGAACATCAGCTAATCCTGCGACCTGCAAAAATGGAGGTTAATTAAGGCAGTTTTTGTTGTATCTCAGTATAGTTAAATACATAAATATTAATTTTGGGTCAAATTGTTAAAATTCTAAAAGAGGGGACGACGATGTAACTCTAACTTTATGTATAGACTTTTCCTCATTCTACTCTATTTTATCCTCCTTGCCAAAGAACTTTCAATGTTCCATGCCACCCTCCATCATCTGGTTCCCACAATTACTTCTGTAAATGACTTCTCACTATTGCATCATGTTCTTGCAATCACTCTAAGGACAGCAGAGAGAAATGCAAAGAGGTATCAATTCAGAGAATCAAAAACATTCCAGGTAGTATCCCTGAATCGGGGGAATAGTTATTTCCAAAACCTCAAGTTTTCATTGGGAGAAACCTCTAATGGGTTAACATTTCTCATCTCTCAATGTGCTTTCATTTTCCCTCCCCTCACCCCCAACAAGAGGAAAAGAAGTGAAATGTCTGACTGTTGAACCTAAAACTGAGTACGCTGGCTCAGTCTTTTCTTCCTTCTTCTTTGGGTTGTGGCTGTTTGCAGAGAGCATACATCATGGGCTTCTTTTGTCACATGGTCAAGAGTTAGCAGGGGAGATTTGCAGCTAAATGGCACTGTCTGTGATTTAGTAGATATTCCTGCCTAATTCTGGGAGGAAGTAATAGCAAGCAGGCCCTTTTGGAAATAGATCTAAATCCATGTTCAACTGGTTTTATCAATAATAGGGATATATTCATATTCTCCATCTGGTTACTGTACCCAACTTCCAGTTAATTCTAAATTTAGAAGGAAAAGAGGGATATTACTGCATGGAAGCAAAGCAGAGTATGCCATGTCCTACACACTGAAAATATGATACCAAAAATGAAAAACTCAACAGTAACTTTAAAAGTGGCCAAGGAAATATCCAAACAAGATGAATTACAAAAAAAAAAAAAAAATAGGTGGTAAACAGAAGGTAAGAAAAGTAGAGGATTATTCCAAGAGGTCTAGCATCCAAATTAGAAAAAACCTAGAAAGAGGAAATAGAGAAAATGAAAAGAATACAAGTATCACAGAAATAATTTAAGAAGTATTCCCAGAATTAAAAGAATTAAAAGATATGAGTTTCTGGATAAAAGAGGCCTATTGAGTACACAAGGAAGAGGAGAAGAGTCTAAAAATTTCCAGGAAAGCAAAGCAACGAACAATAAGTTCAGAATCCAAACTGATTCCAGATTTCTAATAACAATGTTAGAATTTAGAAGACAGTAAAGCAAATACTGTCACATTTTGAGGGAAATTATTTCCAACCTAGAATACTATAATTATGTATAAAGGTATAATGAAAATTTTTAGTCACAAAACATCTCAAACTTTCGGCCTTATTCATCCTTTCTCAGAAAGCTCTTGGTAGATGTGCTCCACCAAAACAGAAACATAATCAAAAAAGAGAAACACACAGGGATCTAGCTCTACAGACAGGTGATGGAAGCACCAGGAGGATGTTGAAGAACCCACAGTGGCCAACTGTGGAAAATATCTACAAAATAACTGGG